TTTTTGGCCCATAGATATACCTAGAATTGGTATTGGAGCTAACATGGAAACCCTCTCTATTCATGCAGGATGCTCGGGCGATCGTTGTTGGATCAGAGAGGCCTTCCATTGGTGTTCAGACTATGGCTATTATCATGCATTTGTATCGATGTAGTTCTACTATAACTCTACGAGGAACAAAGAAAAAGTCTCTTTCAGCAATGCCTTTATCCGCATTACAATCTTTATCTTTCCTTTGGGGCTGTGGAAGGTATTGTAGAGGCTCGAAGTGTCTTATCAGAAAACGCCTCCTAATCATTTCATGAATGGGGTTGTAACGCGGAACATACATCGAGCTAACCAGAAGAAAGAGAGAAAAAAAAAAGAGGTATATCAACACAAACTATTACAATACGCCAATCGGATTGACGAAGGGTCATCTTTATTACGTGCCTATTCATTCGGATTATGCTACTGAAACAAGATGTGTGTGTGCATCATCACTGCCCCGACTCCACGAAACGAGCGGTGGAGCCTGGGCGCAAGGCTGCCTAGGTCGTCCTGAGCAACGGTTGGTGGGATCTCGACGACCCCGTGGGATAGGCTGAGGATGAGAAATTAATACCTGCAAGTTACCGTATTCGGCAAGGCACCTTTGATAAGAGAAATTGTCCGCAGCCGTTCATAGGGCGCGAGATAGCTGAAAGAGGATGGTGAAAATGGCACATCACCAAGTTTTGGTGTTTCGGCTTCGGGGAACCTAAGAGAAGGTGCCGCCCCTTCTTTGTACTGAGTGAGGTCCGGAATAGTCCGTATGTTAATCGCAGGGGTGAGGGAAAGGGTCGACGGACAAAGCCTTCCGGACATATGAAAGTATGAAAGCAGTGATATTACATTCTGCACTCGCATAAGCCATGAACTTAATTGATGTCGATGGCCTACCGTGGCCGAAGTTGGTTGGTTGCTCGAGAACCTTTCAGGAAGCGGGGACACTAGATTAGACGTCCTTAAGGTCTTTTCTTGATCAACAAAATTCCTTGCATACATCACTTGAGGTTTTATTTCTATTTCTTTTTTTTTTTTTTTTTTTTTTTTTTTTTTTTTCCGGTTGATCTAAAAAGAAAACTGGGGCTGATTGAAGCGACCCAGTCCCCAGGGTCGAGAGAGAGACAAAAAGAAACAGAAAGATAGAATGCAGCGTAAGTAAAGTGCAATATAATTTATTAAAATTGCTCCTCCCTATCCTCATGCGATGAAATGTACGCCTGTCATATACTTATTTGTTCGTAGTGTTTAATTGTGTTGGGCTATATCTCATGCTTTACGAACCAAAGTCATAATTGAAAGAGGCCTGAACGTATAGGGTCAATGAATGGATGATCCTTCATAGCTTGAGATTCGCGAGACCATGTTCAAAGCCCATTCTGGGGGTTAGATTAGTAAATCAAGCTTCGTTTTGTGCAGTGCAATCCCTCGTCAGGGATTCTGCCCCCTTGCTAAATTAGATCGTTCTTCTGTTTTGCTTCTCCGGTAAACGGAGTTGCTCAGCTTCCAAATCATGACTCAGGACAACCATCCAGGCATTTTGGCGTCAGACATATCGAGATCTGCTCTATTTGGTTGCTAAACGTTGGCTGTTCGTTTGTACCAAGGAACCCAATTTTGGTTTCTGGCTCCAGAATTATTCTAATACCTTCTTTTACACCGACGTCGCAAATTCCCTGGAATAAACACGGGCTTCGGTGCTTTGATCCCTCGAATATTCTTTTTTTTTTTTTTTATCTCGCTTCCAGGGGGACCTATCGTTGCAGTAGTGGCAGTGTACTATACGAATACGCCAACACTGGTCCCCAAGGGACGTAAATTAAGCATAGAAGACGATCCCAGCTTACAACGGATGTCAATCCATCACGGGCTATAAAACATCAGGTAGGAGGCTAGCCTAGATGGTGCAGGTATTTTGGGAACTTATCAGAGTCGAAGACACAAGTTTTACAGATCCAAGGATCTTGCACTAAATGTATTTTTATTATCACTAACTACGCACATGTCTAGCCGGTTAGCACAAGTGATGAAACGGAGCTTCGGGCTAGTAAAGAGCAGTAGCGCGGCTCCACGAAGATCACAAGGCTAATTTGAGAGCCATACACAGTACCTCTAGACCAACTGCTGTCGAGCAGGCAATGTGCTAGCCATGCAATAGCTGGATGCTGACCGGAGATTTCATTTTCTTCTCTCCTGGGGAATTTTTATTTTATTGCTTTTTTTCCCAAGTATTCTCGCATCCTTCTAGGCAACAGAGCCTCAACTCCAGGTAAATTTGAATTCGTCGGGTTGATTCCTAAACCATTTTTGTAGACAGTCATTGCATTTAATGGGGCCTTCAGTTGGAAGCAATTTGGTCAAGTTTGAAACCCCCCCACCCTAAAACAGGTAGATGTCCAGTTACTTGCACCGGTTTGATTATATACGTGAATGTACCTGTAGCGGGCTTTATCACTGTTTGAAGTAATAACCCCCTCCCCCCTCCCCCCTGATAGTGTTGGCGTTCAACAAAATAGAAACACTAACGGGGAGTAACAGAGAGCAATGGGAAATATTGGACATTAGTAGAGAAAGGTCGAAAAAGGTAGGGATCTGTAGGAATCTTCAGGGATCAGTTGGAATCGGCCGGAATCAGTCAGAATAGTAAGAACCAACAGTAACCCATCAACTGTGACTCCATTAGTAGTATGGGGTACTTTGATCTTTCTTTTTTCTCTCATCGGGCGGAACGTGCCGCTCCCAACAATTCATACGCACATACCTATCAGTAGTAGCATGTTGCCACATAAATTGGGATGTAACGGTGGAGATGGCATAGTATGCTTCGCTTAGAATGTTATCCTACTACACGAGTAGAGTATCCGGAGGGCCATCCCCGGACGATCATTTATTTCCCCTAGTTAGCTAGCAGCAGTTGAGGGCAGGTTAATGTAATATTAATA